AGATACTCCTCCCTAATGTGATTCTGTGTACCAAATAACACTCTTGTATCTTATTGTGGAGCTTAGTTATGGCAATTTATTTGTTTTTGATCAATGGCGTTTTGTGGGCGTTGCAGTGGTCCGATTACGTCCATCTGCAATACCAACCGTCTCACGGTACCAAGAAACATGTCTACCAAGTTTTATAAAGATATGATATATATATGATCATTTATATATATATAACTCTATATCTAACTTGATTAGTTTTAGGTGATACAAGCAACCGTTAGGTGAACAAAACTATTATACTCTGTAGCAACAGGTTGCGAGAGTATAAAAATACAAGATAAATTAATTAATCATTTATGTGATAAAAACGAGAGAGCCCCCGTACTGGGTATTAAAAAGAAATTTATTTCTGAGTCAATATGTTATCATTATTCCGATTGTAGATAGGTATTTAATGAATATAAAGGTAAGGCTAGAACTAAACCGTTACAGTTACCAAAGATTAATGAAAATATATCTTACAAAGACTCGAAATATATAGCAATTAAATACTACAATATGTTACCGCTGAGTCTAAAGTTGTTAAATATTGAAAATAAAGCAAGCAAAAAGAAAATAACTGAGTGGATTGTAGATACTGATATTTAAAAATACTATGTTTTCTTTTGTTTTTCATTATAAATGACGTTGTTATTAATATATTAGTACTTAATTATAATAAACTAATATTACCAGGCCTATGTAAAGGTGTTTTGTAACACCTCTATAAGTGTATACTTTGTATGTAATATTTACTTTGTATTCTAGGATAAATAAAATACCGTACTATAGAAATACCGTACATAATAACTCGCCTGACCGCTTTGAACTTCACTTTTGTTGAGAAATATTCACTCTTCGTTCAATTGCGCTAAAAAAAATTAATAAGCGATCACAACTTTAATGCTATTTTTAGAAGGTCTCGTTAGATTCCCAGAAAAAAACCAATTTGATTACTTTTTCGTTTATTTTGTTGGCATGCATTTTTTGTATATTTGGCCCATGGGCGAAACCACTGTCCATAGGTTACTTCGTTTTTAGTCTGCCGACATATCGTAATGTATGGAAAGGTGTTTGTGGTACGACCTGCTTACAGACATTTTTTCAAACATAAAATATACGAGTATTTTTCAGAACAATAAACACATTTGCACTTTATTTTATCATCTAAACTTAGAATCCTTTGAGTTATTTGCAAAATCGCATATCTAGCTACTAACCCCGCACTAGCTATTAGCATCTAGCTACTAACCCCGCACTCCATTTAATTCTCTGAACTTGATAATCTGCTAAAAAGCGAAAACGATTTTGATCAAATATGAATATAGACAGCGAATGAAAGTAGCAATTAAGTTATTCAATGTTCGCGAGAAATTTATTTATCGATAATGTCAAAAATTAATTCCTATTTCTGGAGGGACCTTACGGTATTCGTTAAACCTGAAGGCGAGTATACTTCTTTTAAAATCCACGGTATTCTAAAGGCAAACCACGTAAGTATTCATATTGGTCTGGGGATATTTTTCAACTACACAGTTAGTCCAGTTCTAAAAGTTAATGGTATAATTACAACATTTTTTTCCCAAGCCATTCTTCACATTATAATGTAGTCACATGATGAAGAGAAAGTACCATATGTGACAGTAAGAATATGTACAACTAAATATTCTCAAGCAATAAAGAATAGAACAACGCATTCCAAGCTCATTTCTTAATATCGTTGAAAGGTTTAAAATTAAATCCAAATAAGTGTACGTTTTACGTAAAAATATAATCATATATACGTACGTTCTGTTGCAAAATTATAAGACCGATTAAACTATTGATGTTAAGTGTACAAGTAAGTATTTTGAAGAAAATTTCTTCTATAAAAATTGTTTATTAACAACCCTAGTGCTCAGGAAACAATTTATAAAATAACATAAATGTACAACTTTAAAAATGCATAAAATACGTGTTGCAATACCAATTTTTTTAAACTCATTATTTACGACTTTGAATCCAAAGGCATTCATTTTGTTGCACAGTTTAACTAATTAATATTCAACAATACGAAGAAACGAACTAAAGTCATTAAAGAACAGAACAATTTAGACCCAGCTACAGTTGCAACGAAAATAAGAAAACTAAAATAAATACAACAAAACAAACATACAACAACCAAGCCCGTTACCATACACCAACTAACAATCGAACTGTAAGAAAGCAAAAGTCGCTGTATTTGCTACCGGCGGCGCAGGTATTATATGGAGCAGCGAGGCACGAACACAAAGGGGGTTTTGTATGGCGTTCACACTAAATTTGTAATACACTCGTATCAATACGATGCCGCCACGAATCGCCGCACAGTATGAATTTCTTGATTCACATTCGTGAAAATATTTTTAGGTGTAAAAGATGGTTTTTCCAATAAATCTTTAATGCAATTGCTTGCTATAAACAATACAAGGCTATCGTGCGCAATTTGAACTACATATGAATGTATAGCTTAACCAGGTTTATATTTTTGTAGATTGGCGGAGATTTTTCAGGGTTTACAAATTGGACAAATCGTTTGAAAACATATGTAACCATATGCTTGTATATATGTATATAGAGTAGGAAGAGTTGTATGAGTTATGGATCCACTAATTTTGAAACTTCGAATAAATTTTTTTTTTTTTGTTGTTACATATTGTATATTTTTTTAAATTTATAGAAAACAAACGTATTAGTTCGCGAAATATAATTCGTCTTCGTACGTATTCTTTATTTTTATCCCAAATGATGTGTTTACTCCAATACCAATAAGGGGCAGTTTTCTACAAATTTTTTAGATAAAATTTATATAAAACTTGTTTGAAAAAGATATAAGAATATATTTTGAAATAGGTAAACAATCTAAATACCGCTTTACGTGGTTCGGGGAAATCAGAATTTTCAAAAAATCTATTTAAGTATAATATCTTGGAAATATTTTCGGAAAATTTTAAGTAAATCCGACAAATACATTTAATGTTATTCGATAACGAGCAAAGGGTTCTCTGGCGCTCTGGAACATTTGAAATCAGGCAGAGAGCAGCAGCGTATTACTTAACTACAATATTATCAAACTTCAAATGCGTTTCTTTCTTTTTAAACTTGTTACCACTGTACCGAAAACCGTTCGGTAGATTTAAATGAAATGTATAAATTTTTTTTAAGCTTTCCTGCGTCCGTCATTTTGTCAATTGAAAACAAATAAGGAAGGGGCTAAGTTCGAGTGTAACCGAACATTTTATACTCTTGCAACTTGCAAGAATCAAATGCCTTCAGGTGCTGGTAAAACTTCATATTACAAACTTTGCGAAAGAATTAACCATTCATTATTCGAAGAAATTGTGAAAAATTAAAATCAAATTTGGTGTCTTCTTAACTTATATTGAAGATCATTAATTTAGACTTGATTTTAGTACTATATTTTAATTGGGGTCAGCTAATAATAATGGGGTCAGATATTCATATGTATGTATGTGATATTTACTCTCTCAATTTCATTAACATAACTCACACATTGGCCGATTTATGCGGTATGAAGTCAGCCGGAAGTTCGAAAATATTTCCGGTAGGTATATGGGGACTAAGGAAAGTGTTGATCCGATTCAATCCATTTTTGACATACAGACATACTATTATCAGGAAAGGATCCTCAAGGTATTATTCGTGCAAAACTGTATCCCGATATATTTGTTGGTGTTTGATTTGCATACTAGAACTTGTGTCCCTTTCTACTGCGATCCTCTGTGCCAAAATTGGAATTCCATATCTTAATTTAGTGCTTAGTTATGGCAATTTAAAGGTTTTCAGGTAATGGCGTTTTGTGGGCATGGCAGTGGTCCGATTACGCCCGTCTACGAACTCGTCCCTACTTTTTTGCCAAGGAACACGTGTACCAAGTTTCAGACAGACAGTCCTCGGATTTCAACTCGTCTCATTATCCTGACCATTTATATAGACTTTTTTGTTCTTTATATAGTTTTATTATAACATCTTTTAAATCTTGTAACAGTTCTCTTCCGCGCGGCGTCATGATCAAAATTTAAATTAAATTACGACTAAAATTTTATTAAAACTTGTAAATCTTTATATCTTAAACAAAAAATAATTATTTAATGATTTTGAAGCAAACAGTCGAAAACATACTGAAATAGTAAATTGCATACATATTTATGTGACGTGATTTTTGGTTTTTTCTGAAAAAATCAAACGGCTCTTAATAACGGGAAATGAGAATGACATCGATCTATCATACCCAGAAAGGTGATGTTATGCATAATTGTTATTGTAAAAAACAAGAAAAGTTTTATTTTTATTTTGCAATTGATATAACTTTTTTCACGCATATACATAGTGCATACTTAGTTTTGTAATACACTGTAAGTAAAATGAATAAATGTAAGAATATAATGAATAAAAAATCTTACATATCTTTCAGGTCAGTAATACTTAAAGTTTTTGTAATTATTTGATAATGTAAAAAGAACCAACTGCTCTGGAATGTCTTTTTTTCTACTTCACAGAAAGTGCTTTATCCAAATTAAACTTTCACTGCGAAATATCACAATAATTTTTATCGGCATTAGTTCTAAACTAAGACACTTACCTGAACATACAAGTGCATATGTGTCGAAGGGAAAGCTCGTGCCTTAGCTGCTGTCAATGTCAAGTTCACTTGGCTAACGAACGACAACGAACGGAACTACAAACCGACAATCGCGTACATATTTACCAAATAATGCATAAATACTTATGTATGTGCGATGTTTGTTCGGTCAGCACATATGCACACACACCGAGGCAGCGAATAACGTAGGAAAGGCATAATGTGTGGGGCGCTCGTTATGCCACCGATAATAGGTGTTTGCTTTGTGGCGCGGCAGTGACAAATTGTATTGCCGCTTTGCTGCTAATGTAAGCAATAACTGTTAAATTTGTATATACATTTCAGTTAAAGTTGCTAGTGTTCCGCGTGTGAGATACAGCGATTGCTGGCGATGATTTGATTTCATTAAATTGCAATTTTTCTAACAAATGTATATGTGCACATACATACATACGCATTGTATTAATTGCTCGTATTGGTCTGTGAAATGAAACGTAAGATTGACGCAATTTTCCAGCAATTGAGAATGCAGCGAAGTACAATGTAGCGGAGCGTCTGCTCGCGTGGCGGCGCGTTACTAATTACCGCTATATTAAGTGAATGGGAACTGGAAAAACTATTAGTCACAAAATTGCATAAATTACCAAGTTGCAATGTTTTATTGGATAAACAATTCAGTACATCAGTAGTGCAGCGTCTTGTCTATTATATTTATGACTGTTTGTGCACATACTTTAATACAAATACATATGTTTTTTACATTATTAAGTGTGCATAATACACGGTAAGAAACTGGAAAGTGAATTTACGAAACTATACTCATATATTCGCAATGGGCCTCCTGCAGGCCTATATGCGTCGTCAGACATCCAATCTACCCATGTACATACATGTATACATACCTACGAACTTAGATTAATTGTGAGCCAAAAACTGAAAGATTATACAATTTTGAGAGCTTCATATGTACATCTTTTATTTTTACGGCTGGTACTTAAATATTGGCTAGCATTTCTGGATTTGTTATATAATATATACATATATAAATGATCCGCATGACGAGCTGACTCGATTTGGGCATGCCCGTCTGTCTGCTTATAGTAGCGAACTACTCCCTCATTTTTTGAGATACTGATCTGAAATTTTGCACACGTCCTTTTCTTCCCAAGAAGTTGCTCAATTGTTGGAACCGCCGATATCGAAACACTATAGCATATACATATCTGTCACACAAACTGAACACTCTGAATCAAGTGCTTTTATGATGATTATGATGTGAACAATATTTTTCAAACAATTTAATTAGCTTCAATATTCAAAATTGTCAAAGTGAGACTTAAATTCCTAACTGTGTATGCGTCAGTATGTAAACGACTGGTCGAGTGACTTGTGACTGGTGACTTGATTCGCAGCAATTGAATGGTCAAAAAGTGGCGTTAATGTCGCGTGAGTACAGCTAATAAGAACTCACAGTAAACGCATACATAAGTATGTGCATATTGTATGTCTATATGTAGTTTGTCTCTGCCATTTGTTTTATTGTTCATCGTTCAATTGTTCGAATTGAATAAGTTTGCCGGTATTGGCTGACGATTCGATTTGTACTTTGGCTACAGCAATTCATAGGCGAATTGCCATTGCTAAAAAACGGCTCGATGCACGCGGACGCTTAGCGGCAAATGCTAACGGCAACGATCATAATTCTACTGACGGTTTCGATTTCCTGTAACGTTGTACATACGTGTGTTAACCCAAGTCCTTTAAGTTTGCTGAGTTCGGTGTGGCAAATATAATTAGTGAGTCCGAAGGATATTAATATCCTGCTACATCCGTTGCACTAGACAAGTGCCGCGAAGTAAGGACTTTATAGCTCTGAACTTGAAATGTACAATGACATTACAAAAAAATATGTGTAAATAAAGGATATAAATAAAATACAATTATATGTATGTATATTAAATATCGAACGCGGAATTTTTTTTAAAGGAAAGTGTGATAGAGCAAAGAAATTCATGTATAAATGTGCATTTAAACGTTTTTATAGTACTATTACGGTCAAAGCCAATTCTAAAGACCAAGTGAAGGTGAATATTGCTACTTTTACCCAACAGTTTTACTCATAGCTTATACACTCAATTGTAATCAAATTATTTTTTCATCATTATCTAAAACAACAGGACAAAAAATAATTTTTATTATTTGAATATTACTTACATATATCCGTAGAAAAATATGAAGTTTCATCATACGCACAAAACGTTGCATATTAAAAAAACATAAAAGAAATAAATAATTGGCTTAGTAGGAGACGTTGGCGCTTATGCTAACATAAATTGAGAAAAGAGATTTCAAAATAGGTATGCGATAGGCCCATCTTTTTGTCATACAAGCCACCGATATGATCACGGGTTTCTTAACTTGCCTTTCGAGCAGAGGCAAAGCTACCGAACATTCCTAAAGGACTGCAATTAGATTTTATCACATGTCATTTCTACATACAAATGTATATATATACATACATAAATATCCATGTACTATCGATACCTTATTATCTATAAATCCCATGAGGAATGCCGATATCTCAAATCTATAATTCTGAATAAAAGCTTAAAACCTAAACAGGAAAAATCCTTTGAACAACATAAACCGATACTCTACTTTTAATAAATTAGATGGGATTTTGAATATGATAAGAGTCATGAAGGTTTTCTATTCCAATTACACATTCTTTCTGACCTCCTGTGTGAATTAGTTTTAAGTTTTATTGCATAATGATCTGATCTCGTCTTTGCAATAAAATAATGTTTACTACAGTTAGACTTAGTGCTAACATAACTAACATGTTCTCGTTTAATTTTATTCAGATATTTGCGATATCAACTAAAAAAAGAGAAACAAAATTTAGTATTTTGGGTTATAAGAGTATAAGGGAAAGTCAACCAAAAGTAACTTAAAAAGTAATATTAGTCTTATGGGGCTACAGCAAGGTCTAAACCAATATCATTTATATTCATAGCTATAACTTATTATGGTTAATAAAATAGCTTCGTCTATTTTATTTCGTTTAAATATCACACATATTTACCTATATATACGGTATAAAGTCAATCGGAAAGTCGAAAATCACTTTATTGATTATATTGTGACCAGAAGAAGTTCGAGTCAGAGAATTATTGCATTTTCTTTTAGCATTCAACTAAAATATACTCGAGAACCTATCTCCACCCAATGTTATAAAGATAACTCACACATTGACTGTTGTATTCGGCATACATACAGTGGCGAGCAGAATTGAGTGCATGTTTACAAAACTCCGCCATGTTTAACAGATTGTTTTACGTGGTGTCTTTGTATACGTTCTCCGGGTCTACGCCAGCAGTATTGCTTTCCGTCTGACTGAAAACGGTTAAATTTGGACTCATCAGACCAGACAACACGTTTCCAATCATCAATGGTCCAATTTTGATGCTCCCTTGCAAATTTCAAACGCGCTTTAATATTCTTATCGGACAATGCAGGTTTGTTTTTTTCACACTTGAAATATATCCGATGTCTCGTAGCGTTCTTCTAGCAGTCCATTCACTAACTTTTTTGTTGATGACCAGAGAAGCACCCTTTGGTGTCAGTAGCTTGTTTTTTCTCATTTCGGACATCATTAGTCGAGCATCTGAGTCCTTCAATAATTTTTTGCGACCTGCGACTTGCGGTTTGGGAGTCACATTACGCCTCTTTTGAACTGCGATCACCGCCGATTGGCTAATACCAAGCCTCTTGGAAATTTTCCGCGTAGTACAGCCATTCTCGGTCAGGCTCACAACATTATTTTCCATTTCTTCAGATAATTTTCTCATTTTTTTTTAAATATCGACAAATTATTTCTAATTCGAAACCAATTCACAAATAGCATAAGAACAAATATAACGGTGAATCTGGCTGATTTATGCTGAGAAGAGAAGAGAGAGGGCAAAATACTTGGAAGTCATAACACGTGCAAAATTGAGTTTATGCGAGTTTCTTTCGTTTTTTCTTTCAAACTCTTCGAATTTTTCTAATTAGTCATTGTTCTTTACTAGAATTTGTTAAAAATTAAATAATAAAAATAAAACAAAAAAAATTTTGGACTTGTGTGGTTATGTTTTTATGGGTGATGAAAGTCAGTTTCACTCAATTCTGCTCGCCACTGTATATACGGTATGCAGTCAACCGGAAGTTTGAAAAACTTTATATTAGGGAAAGTATTTAACCGAATTTACCAAAACACCGGAAAAGATGACCTCTCTTTTTGTCGCACAACCCACTTTATCATACAATACTCTTAATGTTTCCTTATAAGATTATAATAAATAAATATTTAAAGCTTTTTATTAAAAAAAATTGAGATAGTAGTATTCAATTCTGCACTACTTATCTGATTCTTCTATTCTCAATGTTAAATTTGCTGAGTTTAATAATTTCACACTTTATACACTCGTTTATGCATATACATATGCATGTATGTAGTTTGAGTTTGTGTATAGTTCGATATAAACAATTAAGTGGTTATGCGTTTCAAAAATGCACTTGAAACTTAAGTATCCTCAAAGTTGAAATTGCGTTTGAAAAACCTCTCGTTAATAGTACAAAGTATTGTAGGTATTATCAAGTACCATAATGCTTTCTTCGCATTATTCCATTCAGATAACTTTATACCTTTCGACCAGTGTAGCCAGATAGTATGTTAACATACAGGAAAGAAAATCATCAACAATAAAATTTATTAATGAGTTGAGTTTAGTTATAATTTTATAATTTTTGGCTAGCCACAGCTCTACTAGATCGGCTTCGGCAGCCTCAATCCACATAACTCGGTTTTTTATACTCTTGCATCATGTTGCTACAGAGTATAATAATTTCGTTCACCTAACGGTTTTTTATATCACCTAAAAATAATCGAGTTAGATATAGGATTGCATACACTAGACAGAAACAGTCTGCGTACAAGGTACCAACAAAAACAAATCGTTGGAAAAATAATTTTGTATACTTTTTATAAAACCAATTTATTTGATATTCATTTAAGGATACTAAATATGTAGTTTTATGATAATAAAAGTGATTAAATTTCTGACAATAACATATAAACAAAGCAAAACAAAAGTCTGCGTACAGGGTACATAAGTCGAGCAAAGATATTCTTTTACCGAATTCTTCATAAATACCATTAAACCCTGCCTTTTTTTTAAAGGTTTCGAAGTTCATGAACTTTTCTTAAAATATTGAGCGATTTAGTTTGCAGCAAGTCGGGGGTTTTGCTTCATATATTCTGTCACATTCTAATATTTTTGGCCGCCCTGGATGGGCCGAGATATAAAAGTGGCGGTATGTTTGTAATTTTTTATTATTCTTTTTGTGGAAGAATGTGTTCTTTCAACATACATATCTACCGTTTCTCCGTATGTTTTTCCTTCTTCCAAAAGTTTAACCATTGTTTCCCTTTCAGAGGATCCCTTTCTTTTCTTTTTTTATATGTTACTATTTTTGTTACGCCTGCTACGAACAATATTTTAAGTAATTATTTTCTAAAAGGTGAAACGTTTTCGCACAGCCAAATAAGATTTCAGCTCAATGTACTGGTACATCCATTGTGAAGTACTATTTCAAAATAATTACTTCATCGAATTACAAGTAAACATAATAAATTCACATTGACGATTTAATAACTATATCCAAAACATATACAATATGTTTGTAATAGGCGTGATTTTTTTTTTATAAAGAAAGGTATTCGTGGGTGCAATTTTTGTCTCCAATTTATATGCTTGGCTTGACATCAATTCCGATATCTTTAGTACTTAGAAATCAGACTTCCTTGGATTACCCAGTAATGTATGTATGTATGTACGTATTTATATAAGTGGCAGTGTAAAGTCATGGCTGATAAGAATAAATATGTATGTAAGTGGGGCAACCTGCATTTCCTCGTGCAAGCAGATAAAAAATCGAACTAATCGATATATTTATTTCAGTTACATTTGTCCTTTAATCAAAATTGATGTTATGAAGGGAATTCCTTGTCCACATTTGAAAAATATGTATGGGACTAGTCATTTTGTAGGATAAAGATAAATTAACGACTGCAGAACAATAATTTAGGAGAGCTGCAAGTACCACCAATTGACTGCGCAACTTCATTCAATCATATACTCGTACAGTGGTACATAAATATGAGCTCTTAGTGGATTTTTTCTTGGTATGTATGTTATGAAACAATATAAAACGAAACATATTTGTTATTGTTTAAACATTCATACATACATGCACGGAAGCATAACCATTTACGTATTTTTTCGGTGTTCAGTGCTACTATGTTTCTATTATGTCATTTGAGTTGTGGTAATCAAATAAATAAAATTTTAACATTTTCAATGGACTTGAACCACTGTGAGACGTCACGTTGTTTGCATTTTACTCAAATTTCGGTTTGTTAAA